GCACAGGTCTGATGTCAAGCCTGCTTCTCAGGGGGACCTCCACTTTATTTCCATAAGGCTTTACTAAAAATCCAAGAGACGACTTCCTGGTGGGCCTGGCTGGGCCTTTGGGGATTTCAGGATGCCTTCTGTAAAGGCTAACATTTCGGCAGGCTGAGGCTTGCAACCTGGAGGAGGGATGTCTGGCGTCCCGAGCTTCTGTGCCTTCAGTCTCCAATCTTAGTCCTCTAGTCAAATCAAAAGAACCAGACTCACCACCAGCGAGGCAATTCTCACTCTTAATCACCCTCGAGGGCAGAGTAGAACAGCCCCTGTGAGTTTTCAAGGGGCTGTTCTCTACGGGACTAGAAAGCCTCATCTTTCTCCCACTGAGCGGCTGGTGGTTTCGAACCACTGACCTTGTGGTTAGCACCCCAACGTGTAACTATTATGCCACTAAGGCTCCTGTTAAGTCTCTACCAGTGACTGTCAAATCTAACAACATTTAAGGGGCTGAGTTGGTGGGGCAAGTCACCGGGCTTTTCTTGCCAAAGTAGCTTTGTGGAACAAGAGGACTCCCCAGAGAGAACATTGTAGGGGAGAGACTCAGATTCCCTCGTCCCAGCCTCCGGAGTCCATCACCTCATCCTTCATTGTATCCCCTGGGTTGTGCGTTGGCCCTGGTGGTGCTGGTGGGATAAGTTTTGGGTTGCTAACTGCAAGGCGGCAGTTCAAATCCACCGACCACCCTGAGGGACAAAGATGAGGCTGTGTGCTCCTTTAGAGATTGACAGTCTCAGAACTCTAAGGAGCAGTTCTACTGTGCCCCGTAGGTTGTTATGAGTCAGATGGTCTTGAAAACACTGGGTTTGGGTTGGCTTGTTGGAGAGTTGTGAAGAGTGCCTACTCGTGGCAAGAGTGGGCCACATACTTTCTCGGCTTTTTATTTGTCCCTTTACTCCCATTGAGGAGGCTTGGTGGCATAGTGGTCATGTGTTGGGCCTGTGACCTGCAAGGTCAGCAGTTCAAAACCACCAGCTGCTCTGTGGGAGAAAGAGGGGATTTTTTGCACCTGTAAACAATTGCAGTCTCTATTGAGGATCCGATGCATACTCATGTCAGAAGTGTTAAATGGGCCCAATGTCTCTTTTCTCTTAGAAAGAGAGTACTAAATGTGGACTCTCTAAGATTCATTTTCCCCATCCTGAAAATGGGGATGATAAAAGCAGCCACATGCATTTAATGAGTGCATGTAAAATAGAGAGCATCCTCATGAGGGAGTGGAGAATATTCAAGAAATACTGTATCTTTTGAAATGATCGTAGCCCAAGGTGAGGCGTGATGGCTCAGTGGTTTTCAATCCTGGCTTTGACTCGTGGCCAATGTGCCTCGCGCACGGTCAGCGCTCATGGTCATGGTCAGAGGCTTGCTTGCTGCCATCGTACTGACAGGCTCTGGACGGAGAGAGGCTAAGGAGGGCCTAAGGATCTACTTCTGAACAGCAGCCAATGAGGGAAATGTTGGAAAATGGATTGTGGTGATGAGTGTACAACCCTTCGGGATGTGATTGAACTACTGAATTGTGTGCCGTGTGAATGATATATCAATAAAACTGTCGGAGGGGAAAAGGCAGAGTATATTCAGATTATGTATGGACAGCCGTGTTCTGATCTGTAACCCATCACGGGATGACGCCAGACTGAGAATGACTCCTGGGACAGCCATGAACAACAGGGCGGGTTGGGGGTGGGTCAGGTGATTAGCCATCACCTAATGATAACAACCGGCCAAATGACAATAATAAGAAGCCAGCTGTTGCTTTTCTAAAACACCTGCCAACTGCCGGGGAAGCACCAATTTTGCAACCGTTTTCTGTACCCCGAGTGCATCCAGTTAGAATAAGACGCCGTTGCTAACATGCTGTGTAGATGATCTTTGTGCAGAAAGGCGCTGTCTCAGGATGGCCTGGTAGCTGCCAGGTGAAGTACGATTTCTGCACGTTCTTCTCCCAACCGCCCTCGGGTTCTTTGCAAGCTGGCTTGAGTCCTTCAGAAGAGCCATGGGAACACCAGGAGGGATTGGCTACGACTGAGTAAGTCCCACGAATAACAAGCCAACCACTCCTAGGCACACAACTGGGTCCAAGGCTCCGCAATCCTGCAGGAGAAACCTGAAGGTCACAGCTGGAATGTGGAGGGTGTTCCCAAAACCAAGCCAAATTCACTGTCCTGTTGATGCCAACTCAGAGACCCTACAGAGCCGGTTCAAACTGCTCTTGGGCGTGTCTGAGATGATTCTTTCCAGGAGTACAAAGCCCTGCCTTTCCTCTCAGAGTGGCTGATGGTTTCGAACTGGTGGCTTTGCAGTTAGCGGCCCAACACATAAGCACTATGCCACCAGGGTTCCTGATTCTAAGGGTATTCTGCCATCATTTCAGCTAGTGAGCAAATGCAGTATTGCATTGTGCTGCTGACTTTTTCTAAGCAAGGCTGGTTTTTCCTTGAAGGTCATGTCCCGACCCTGAAATAGACCAGGACCTAATCCCTACCACCTGCTTCCTGGTGATCAGGTTCACGTTCCGAGAGAATCTGCCTATGACCATCCCAGGGCAGCTGATCTGAGCCACGTGCTCCCTCCATTCTTTCCCGACAGGCAAACCACTAGCCTTGTGTGCAGCTAGGGCAAAGAACAACTTCTAAGGGAGAGAAGGACTTCGTATCCCAGCCAAAAAATGTAGTAATGAGCAAACTCCACACGCAGAGGGCAAGTCTGCGTGATGCATCATTAGGGGAGCCTCGGTTGCAAAGCACTCACACAGATGAGGGGTTTCTTTGCTCCTGGACCCACCCAGGAGGGTTCTGGTATCAGCCAGACCTGGTGGAACCTGGTGAAGACATGCCAGTGTCCCAGGCAGAGCCCCGGCAGACCTCCGGTCCAGAGGGGCTGTACAGGACAGAGTCTATTTTTAACTTCTGACGCATCTGAAGGAGAGGAAAATGGGAGGAATGTGTGACCCTATTTCCTTCCGTTGACACCGCTCCATTCACAGAGAGTCCTCCCAACACGAAAGAGATGCTCCTCTCTCCTGAAGGTCTCCCGACTGACCGATGGTAGAACACCCTTCAAGCTCATTTGATAATGCTTCCCATGAAGGTCCGAAGGCTCTCAGAAAGAGAAAACTCAAGAAAGAGGAGCGGAGAGGAGGGGAGGGAACCAACACAGGTTTGAGGGACTCATCCCTGACAGCACTCTGGAGTCGGAGACCCCAGGCCACAGCCATGCCCTAGGGGGCTTCTGAGGGTAAAGACGGTGACATGAGACCCTGAATCCACTGGAGACAAAGGCCTGGTCATGTGTGACCTCTCGGGCATCTTCGGGGCATGCAGGCAGGGTGTGACTCAGGGCAAGGAAGACTTTGGCCCATAGATATCTCCCCACCTTGGTGCCAAATGAGAAAAGACACAAATAGTAGGTTTTTGTATGTGTGTGTTTTCTGGACCTGCAAAGGACTCCTTTTAAAAGAAAATGTCATTGGAAACTTTACTCTTGTCCGGTGGTAGAGGGGCTACGCATTGGACTGCTCACCACCAGGTGAGCAGTTCCATCCCACCAGCTGCTCTGTGGGAGAAAGACTTGGCTTTCTACTCCCATAGAGAGTTACAGTTTTAGAAACTTAAGGGGCATTTCTGCGCTGTCCCATCGGGTTGCTGTGAATCCAAATTGACACAGCAGTGACTTGCCGCGACGTCGAGGCAGTTTTCAAAATTGCAGTCTCCTTGGAAAACGACCTTAGGACGAGAGACTCACAGAGGTGGAAGGAACCTTCCCTGGAGCTCATGTGATTGAACTTACTTATTGAACAGACAGGAAAAGAGATGTTCAGTTATAGGCTGACTTGCCATTGCTCACGTAAGTGAGTTTTGAGAAGGCCTCTAATCCGTAATCCAGTGATTCTTGACTTTTCCCCGAGAGATCTTTCCCCCAGACCACAGTCACGGCGTACAACCCAGTGAGCCTCCGTTGTTGCATGCTTCCCCAATGAGCTGGCCTCAGTTCTGGCTCACAACAAAGACCTACCCGCCAGGATGCAAGTGTTACTGGGAGGAGGCCTGCTGGCACAATGGTTCCACGTTGGGCTGCTGTCTGCAGGGTCAGCATTTTGAAAGCACCGGGTGTTCTGCAGGTGCTCGGCAGGGGAAAGATGGGTCTTTCTACTCCCTTACAGAGCAACAGTCTGAGAAACTCTCAGGAGAAGTTCTACTCTGTCTTCCAGGGGTCGCTGGCAGTCGGAATCCTCTCAATAGCAGTTGAGTAGAGTTTGGAGTGGGTGTCCCTGAGACGCTGCTAAGAGAGGGGATCGCAGGCTGAGTTGCACCATAGACCCACCTTCTAAGCCTTCAAAATAACTTTAGTTTAAGTCCAATCCCACGCCAATTGAATCAGAGTCTTTGGGAAGGAGGCTTAAACATTTATATATAGTTTAGAATTCTTCCAAATTGATTCTAATCTGTAGCCAGAATTGATCAGCATGTCTCTAAAGCCTCGTGTGTGCCTTGTGATGTCATTAGCCCTGCCTGGTCCCCTCCCTATCTCTAATCAACATAACTACACCAACTGGCCCTTTCTCACATGGTGTTCTACCACATGCTCTTCCTTTCAGGCTAAGAGATGCACAGGAGATGGAAAATGGATTATGTTAGGTACGCGTTTTGCAAATAAGGAAAGCTGAGCCTAAAGATGGTACCAATAAATCCTCAAATAAATAGTAGTAGCTTAGTCATGAACAAATTCAAAGACTTAGAGCAGTTCTTAAAATCGGGCTGCTTTCAACTTGTTTTTAAGGGTTGATTCTAAGTATAGGGAAATGAGGTGTGCACTTGTGGATTTGATTTAAAGAGTTCTGGGAGTAGCTCTGATTAGACCCATCCTCTTTCAGACCTATATTAAATCAAGAATCCCTGCCAATGCTCTCTGGATATTATCCATGAATGTAGTATCGACTGTGAGACAACCATGAAACCGTTGATCATGGAAACCATCTTTATATTGCTTACCTGATTCCCAACGGAAACGTGTGTAAATAAAGAATGGGAGACTGAACAGGTAAGTTGTGTTGGCAGATCAAAGGTATGGTGGGAGCAGGGGTGGGGATCATCAAAGAATATTCTCTGAAACTGACTTGCGGGACTGGGAGGCAAAAAAAGAATTTTGGTGGGGGCGGAGAGAGGAACTTAAAATGAAGAAGGGGTTTCAGACAGCAGGATGGTGACGTCAGCTGGCTTGCTCAGAGGCAACCCTGAGAGCTTGTCCAAGATGACCTCTTTTTCTATTCTTTGTTCTCTCCTTCCCTGATGCCAACCTGTGAGTCCATGAAGATTCCAGCCATGGACACCCTATGGGGCAGCTCTGCTCTGTCTAGCCGGGTGCTCTGAGTTGGAATTAACTCCTTGGCGATGGGTTAGGATTCTTTTCAAGCAAACGCTACAATTACACCCTGAGAGTCTTGGCTCGCTCCTTGTCTGGAGGTGCTCTGGGAAGCCGTCTAAGCTTTCTCAGTGGCCAGATCAATGCCAGGGTTGCTCCTCCCGAGGAGGAGCTGAGTCTCCTTGACCCTCCCTTCACTCAGCCATATGAGCCGCCGCAGCAGCGTGGTTCTCGGCAACACAGCCAGGGTTAGTGCAGGCCCATCTAAGTGTTCTCGGGCTCGCTCTCTCGCTGCCCCGGGAAGCACGAGGCCTGACCACTGCTGGTATCTGCACAGGAAGTGGTGGAATGTGGAAGTTTACAAGACGACAATGCACGCCCATCTTCCTCTTCCTCTCTGGAGCCTGGTTACTTTGCCCCCGCCCCACCGCAGCCTCCTCTCAGTAGCTGGGGCTTTTCTGCGAAGGGTGTAGCTCTCTGAGCCGAGCTTAAGGAAGTGTGTCAAAGCAACCAAACAATGTAAGAGACTTAGTTGCTGTGCAGCAGGCTTTGCAACTAAAGACACCCCGTACTCCATCTCTCGGGTCTGAGCCTCACTGGAAACAAGTCGGCCCAGCCCAGCTTCCTGTTTCCTATCCAGTGCACAAACGCACTGGGAAACCATGGAGTCTGCCTTCCAGGGGAAAAGAACGTTTCCTCTGATAAGGGCCACGCTTGACGCTGTGAGGGAGAAGAGCAACTCTGATGGGAACGAAAAGGGCAGTGGGGTTGGCAGCGCACGGTTCAGACCGGTAGGAAGGCCTTTAGATTCTCAGCGTCTGAGCAGATGGACAAGGGGGTGAGGTGGAGGTGGAGGTGGGGGTTGTCTGGGCAAAGGCCAGGTTAATAGAGAAAGCTAACCAAGACAGGGTTTTGAAAGCCGGCCTGCATGCTACAGGACAGAAGTAAACCATCAGTGTTACAGGGTTGTCTTCAAGGACTGCCTGCTGAGCAAGGCTAGGAGCTCCTCTGCTTTGCATCTCATGCATAGCCTTTTAAGGCTTGCTTCCCTGGCCCTCCTTTGAGCTCATGAGGACCTAGATGGTGTCTTGTTCTATCATAGCAATCCTACATGGAGGGTGGACGGGACCAAATGTCAGCAACTGAAGCACACCAGGTTCCACCTCTCAATTGTGGTGAGGGGTCAACCCTCCTGGTCTGTCCCGGACTTCCCTGGCGGAAGGGGTGCTCAAGGATCTCACAGTACTCTGCTGAAGGAGTAGAAGGAGGGGCATTCGAATGGGTCCCAGCCCCTCAGCCTCAACTCCTGCTCCCCTGCCCTAAAGGTCCCTATATCATGAACCTGAGCGCAGACTGCAGGGCCTCCCCTTGAACCTTAAACACGTGTTCCATTGGGAATGGTGAGGCATTGCTGTAGGCAACTCTTTTAGCTCCCAAAGGGTCAGAGTGAGAATAAATGGAAGGACATGGGATAGAGCCCAGGCAGATATGCAAACACTCATTAATGAAAATTTGGCGTGTACTCAGAAAGATGAGCAAGTCCCAAGAAATAAAGCAATGTATTGCTTTCCTTAATATTTTTTTGCATGTAATGCATCCACAGAAGTAATATGCACACATGCATAACATGCGTAATGTGCATAGGAAAGTACATGTGAGGGGGTTTCATGGTTTGCCAAAAGAAACCCTAAAACATGTAGTGCCTGTTTTATTTGTTGTTAAAAGGTATGAAATGTCTCATGAATTTTCTGCAAGCAGGTTCACCAGAGGATCCTCATATCATCCTCAACCCCTCCCCTCCCGTCAATCCCGCCTGCAGGGGGCTCTGGGGGTGGGGCCTGAGGGGCAGCAGCTTGCCAAGAAAGGATGGCTTTTCTTGCAAGGTTTGTTCACACAGTGGGGAAGAGGCCATGGCCACAGGCAAGGGAGGACCAAGTCTCCCAAGAGTGAAAACAAAGAGAGGAAAAAAGTGAGAAAATAAAAGAAGAATCCCCAAGGAGGCACAGGTGCTGGGGAAGGAAAATCTCCCATGGTGGCAACCCGAGGTTTCAAGCCACTAAATAAGATATAGCGACTTCAAACTCCCAATGTGTGTATGGGACTGAGAGGATGCCATATGCAGATATTGCAGAAGGCAACAAGACCAGGCATCTCCGTAGAGGAGAGGAAGTTTGAGAATACCTAGGAATACGTAGGTTTGTCTTGATGGCATCCTTATTCAATGTTGGTGCGGCGGACGTTTTATAATATACGCGGTGTATTCATGATACATCATGAACGCACGTAATATGTAGTCATGTACATACTAGAGATGGCATAGTGGGTTATGGGTTGGGCTACTAATGGCAAGGTTGACGGTTCGAAACTACTGGCCACTCCGTGGGAGAAAAAGCAAGGATTTCTCCTCCCGTAAGCAGTGACAGTCTCAGAAACCCACAGGGGCAGTTCCACCCTTGTCCTGTAGGGTCACTAGGAGTTGGAATTGATTTCATGGTAGTGCGTTTGGCTTTGGCTCACATGCATATAATTTATAAATCTATATATTTGTATTGGGGAGGAGACATTGGGGAAAACATTTGTACTGTATCCGCTAACATGGTACGTGGATGGTGTACACAATCTAAAGATCTTGGACACTACCTACCAGCATAATGACAAAAGAGATTCGGGCCAACTACCTGCCAAGGCTTATTGCTCCTGGACTCTTGCTTTATTTCACCTGGGCCCTCTGCCGGAGCCAAGCTGGAGCCCTGTCACCTGCCTGTTGGGACAGCCCCAGGCTCAGCTCTTCTCCAGAGCCAGATGACCCTTTAAAAGATGAAGTTATTGGCACTTTGGTAAAATAGAAAAGTATTTTCTTATCACAGATAAGAAAATCATATAGATGTTCCTACCTTAGCCTGAAACCTATCTTCCAGGAGACCACATTGTAGGGGGTACTTTGCTTCCAAGTCCCCCACCCCCACCCCACCCCACACAAGGGGGCTTCAAAATGTCTTGGGGGAAATGGAATGGAAAGATATTGAAGGTCCCCATGGACTTTTCGAAACCTCCTTGGGCACGTGGGTAGGTCCCGGCCACAGCGAAGTAGGCAAGGGGGCTGCCATCCATCCTCCTCCCTGAGGTGCATCTGCCCAGGGAAGGGTGCATTCTGTCAAATTCTTTCAGAGGTATTATATGGATTAGCAACGGTCCTGCTACTTTCCTTCCTTTATTTGATATCATTTTTGTCTTTATAAATACAATCCTGTTTGATTTTCCTTAGTCCAATAACAATGTTGTGTTTCCACCCCCTGGAGTGTGTGGGTCATGGAGGGTTGGCAGACTGGGACTCTGGCTTTGGCAGGTGCCGTCCCCCCCAAACAGAAAATGCCACGAGGGAGCCCTTGGAAGTTGAGCATCATTTTTGGTCTCTGTGACGCAGAGGTGGCTTGAGGCCACCTGACAGTGGGTTGTCCCGCCCAGAAAAAACAGAACGGAGCTGTTGCCTCAGCCCAGCCAGTCCGTTGTTTGCCTTGGAGCCAGACTGTTTGTTTCCTGGGTTCTCAGCTGTGGTTTCCCACAAAACGTGTCCAAGGACACATGCGTCCAGTGGTGGGAGGTTCTGTCTCACTGTGCCCAAGACCACAGGGGAAGAACACCACCTTTCCACACAGTCAGGATGGCCACCAATGTCCCTGTTCACCCTCCTCTTCCTCAAAATCCCATGGAATTGTTTGGCATCCTGATGTGTTCTCCAAGCCCTCACTCGGAGCACGGAGACAGACAGTGATATTGGCCCCACCAGGGCCAGGCTGTCCGTGGGGCAGTCCCAGGACCTCAGGCATCAGCCGGGGGCTCCTTCGTGGATTTGACCAACACCTTGACTTCTTCTTCCAGGGCCTCGTTCCTCTTCTCGACGTCCTCCCTGGAGCGCTCCACATTGCGGAAGCGGGTTTCCAGGGCTGCAAACTTCTTCTTCTCTTGTTCCAGCTCTTCGTTGAGCCTCACCACCTTCGCCCAGACATCATAGTTTTCCTTCTCCAGGCTAGACAAAGGAGAGAACGACAGAATGGAAGATCAGCTCCAAACGCCTCTTCACCTCCCTCATCTCGCCCACCAGGTTCTCCTGCTCTCCAACTACCCGCATCCCACCTGTCCTTCCCCAGAGTCCCCAGGTTATGACTCAGCTTTCCCTTGGTTGTTGAATACCATAGGCTCTGAGAGAAGGAATCACCTCTAAGATCTTACCCTCTTAACATCTTGCACTTCTGCTCCATAGAAATTGGCGATCATCTGGGAAGCCCTATCCAAACTTGAGATTCTCAACCCCTTCTGTGCACACCAGTGGCCACCCAGCCTGTTCTCACTGAGAGCACACACCCAAACTTCTTCATAGGAAGGGTCTGCTGGGAACCAAGACTTGGAAAACACAGGGATTTGCCCTGCGGGAAACAGCCAGCCTGGCAAACCTACACTCGTTCCTGATTGCTGCTTCAGGTGTGTAAGAATCTTGGATTTCCAGTATTTTGACTGTTTACTGGCCCAAATCCTAATGTACTCTCAGGTGCTCTCTTCTCTTCCCCACCAGGCTGTGCTAAATGAACCCTTGGGAATGAATACACAGATTCCACGTGTAAGCTAAAGGAAGGAACATCAAGCCTGCAGGAAAACTGACTCAAGAATTCCTCCAGAATTTCATTCTCTTGCCACGCTCCCCATTTCCCTACGGACACTTGTCATCATGTCAGCCCGGGTTCTAGGTTCTATCTACCACACAAGGCCTTGGCCCATTCTGCGTGTACTGGGCCCTGCCCAAAGCCTTGCCTGCCTCTGCCTTGCTCTTCTTAAAGCTAAACTAGACTTGGTCCTTTCCATTCCAAAATTAGCTTTCTTCTCCAAGGTTGGCACCTCCCTCTCACTCTGGGGCAACCCAAGTGAGACACTGGCATAGACCTGAACCATTGTTTCCAGGGGAGAGGAAGAAGGGAGAGGGCTTGGGAGCCTGGCTGCCCTAGATTCAAAAGCAACCACTAGTTAGCTGTATGACTTTTGGGAATGTGTTGCCACTTCCAAGGCTCCATTCCTTCTGGAGCATTGGGGATATGATCGATTTTGAGGGCTTGCTGTCAAGGGAAATGGGAAGGTGAAGGCTGAGCCTGAAATGGAGAGCAGGCACTATTGGGCTGAGAAGTCACACGGTTCCCCTGCCAGGGGAGCTGTCAACTCTCCTTGATTCGGGATGGGCATGGAGACCAACTCCTTTCTGCTGTCAATGACACTCAGCCATAGAGCCCACGGTGGGCCTTTTCTGGATTTCTACACTCCCCTGCCAAGATGTCACCGAAGTGTCGCCATTCTACAAATGATCGCTTTCACGTTCTCAGACAAAGCAGCTACACGTGACCGCCAAAGGTCAGCCCTGCA